TGTTATAGGTTTATAATATGTTTCTTATATATGTATATATGTTTGGTTTTTCTAAATAAATTTGTCAAAAATATTGAACTTCAACACACTTCAATCTTTACACTGCTCACTTTGTACCATTTCTTTAATTGTATAATTTTTTGTTATCAATTACATTTTATTTCCTGTAACTTTTCAAACTTTGTATAGAATAGTTCCCTTTCCAAACTTTGTTTAGATAGTTTACAATGGTGCACTTTAACCGGTTATCTTTTCACCAATGGTTTCACAAATTTTCTTATGGCATGTATTGTTTTGATAAATCACAATTGAAAATTTAAATCTTCGAGTTAGCTTCGATACCTGTTTTCTCCGAGCGGAGCTCGGTCACCCGCTGGTATATTTGAACTTATAGATACTCAAAAGATAGAGTAATACAAAATAAAATAAAGAAAACATGACGGAATTGACAAACTTAATGTGAGTGGCAACATACTCCCACTTTTGTATTGCTGGTACTTTTGCTCTGAAACAATACAAAAAACATAATGCTGTAACACTACAAGAAATTAAAAGTTATGAATAGCTCACAAGTTCATTCGTTTCACTGGTACGATTCGACGTCAACATCGAGTTGTTCTTGCTTCCTCTTGAATATTGGCATTACCAAGTTCTGGTTCTGGAGTTTTCAATTCTTCCAGAATATGTATAATACTAGGCTCATGATCAGGCTTTGTTCTGGTTTCCTGGTAATCTTCATTGATATTGTCAATGGAACTAAGTTCCAAAGGATAAATTCGTTGAAGGGGTCTTATGATTTCACCACTGGCTACCCTTAATTTAGCCAACCGTTGAACATTATCCTTCCAGGAAACAGTTCAATTACTCGAGCCAAAGGCCAATTCATTCGGTTTGGATTTTTTGACTCATCTAGAACAATTTCTCCCGGAGTAATAGCCTTTCTCTTTGAAGCTGTCTTATGACTTCTTACCAATTCGCCAAAATATTCCCTATAGAAACGCTTTCGTAAATTTAGTCGTAAATTTACGAGGTAACGCACTCGTTTCAATAAATGCTGAGAGTCGATTAAATCTGGATCGAAAGTTTCACGTTCTTTCGAGTCTTGAATGAAGTGAGCAGAAGTAAGGGGTTTAAATTCGTTGGGGTCGTCTGACAAATATGTTAATGGTCTTGCATTTATAGCCGCCTCACAGTCGTAAATTCCAGAATCTTTCTCTTAACTGTGCTAGCGTCGTTAATACACCAGCATGCATCAAAGATCTATGAGTATGCAAAATCAGTCTTTCTAGAAGAGGATGGTCTGGTAAAACTAAAGGATATGTGAAGTCCTCCGGATCTTGACTCAGGATAAGTCTTGTTTGAACTTTCAAAATTACATTTTCTACGAAGAATTGTATTGTATCCTTGTACTTCTCACGTATGTCAGAAGGCCATTCATACTGAATGATTTTTATAAGAGTGTTTTCTGCACATTCAATCGCTTCACATGAAATCGCACCGGTCAACTTACAAGAGTTTTTCTTAATGTTGTTACAAAGTCATTCTAAGAATCCTTGTGTAACTCGAAAAGTATAAAAATCTCTGTCCAAATTCCTCTTCGCTTTCAGCTGGTAAATTTGTTATCACTGTCTTACGTCGCTCCAGGAAAGCTTCATCCGGAACGGATATCTCAGACATTGTCCAAGATTCTGCTTCTTCGTATAACCAGCTGGGATCCTCCCACCACTGACTTTGCAATAGATCTGCCCAGTCGCAAAAGCGAGTAGCAAAGTCGGCAGGGTTGACTTCTCCAGGTACATGTTTCCAGTCATCTATATTGGTAAATTCTCTGATTTCTTTCACTCGATTTCCAACGAATGTATTCCATGGCTCCTTTCTCGTAATCCAGCTCAAAACTATCATTGAATCAGTCCAAAAAAGGGTTCTAGAGGAAATGGGCAGAACAGAATGTAGAGTTGCGGCTAAACGAGCTCCGAGGGCGGCTCCCAGCAATTCAAGTCTTGGGATGGTTGGTTTTTGCATTGGAGCAAGTCGAGCTTTAGCAGCTATTAATTTGACTGTCACTTGACCTCGGTATTCACATCGCAAGAAAGCACAAGTAGCATATGCAAAACAAGATGCATCTGTGAAAATATGCAGTTCGCCATCCTCGTAATTTATAGGCAACATTCTTCGAGGAATGGTACATTCAGGTATGAGAGCAGTGGTTTTCTCCCACCGTCTGTGCTTCTGCACAAGTTGTGCAGGTAATGCATCCTCCCAACTTAGTTTCTCTCTCCACGCTTCCTGCAAAAGGAATTTGGACAACAATAGCGCTGGAGCAGTAAAGCCTATTGGATCGTAAATACTGTTGATTATAGAAAGAAGTAAACGTTTCGTAACTGCCTTTTCATTGACGGTAACTAAATTTAACGGCATCTTACATGAAAGTTCATCACTAACTAAATTCCATTTCATGCCAAGAACCATTTCCGTTTCTTGTCCTTCCCCAGAGGTATTGGAAGCCCAGCATCGTAATTCAAACCCACCTTCTCTCATTATTTGGATAGCTTGAGATTTTAAATGTTCCAGTTCATCGACGTTATTAACACTTGTGACTAGGTTGTCCACGTAAAATCCTTCTCTTAAATTATCAATCGTATTCTTAAGACTCTCTGTTTGGAATTTCTGCAATCCTAGATGATAATTTATTGTGGCATTTAGAAGAAATGGACTGGAAGAGACATCGAACACCACTCTGCAGTGTCGATAAGTCTTAAATGTTGTGCATTCAGCGTCTTCCCACCACAAGAACCTTAGTACATCTCTGTCTTCGACTCTTAAACATATCCGTAGAAATGCTTGTTTTATGTCGGCAATAACTCCTAATACCCCTGAACGGAATCTCAATAGTAATGGCAGTATCCTACGTATAAGATTCGGTCCCACACTTAAGCATTCATTCAAGGAAGCAAATCCAGGTTTCTTGAAAGATGCGTCGAAAACTGGTCGAACCTTCGTAGTATTGCTGGATGGCTTGATAACTGGTCTATGGGGGAGATAATGACCTGGTTTCGTAATCTGATCCTTTGGTACAGTTTCTATAATGTCTTCTGATACCCACTGTTTAAATACAGCATCGTGAGCATCAAAATAATTTTCGTTTAACAAACGTTTAGTTGCTGTGCGAAGTCTGGATTCTGCTATGTCGTATTTATCATAAAAGGCAGGATGTCCAGCCAACCATGGCAAAGATACTTCATATCTCTGATCTTCACAGACTCTTAATGTTTCTCTGAAATGGATCAACGTTTCTTCCTCTAGTTGGATCTTATTTTTTCTTTCCACGGGATTTTCAATGCTTAAAATGTCCAAATCCCATATTTTTCGCAACTCCATATTTTGCAAACTTAATGCGACTAAGTTAACCATTTTCTTTTTTCTCCCTAGACCTAAAATTGTCCAACCTAGTAAGGTTTCTATGGCTGAAACTCCCGATCTNAACTCCCGATCTTAACACTTCTATTTTTCCAGTCAGAATTCTTCCAAGTACATCAGCTCCTAGAAGAACTCTTATAGAGGGCGTACATCTGTTATTTCTAGTCCTCGATTAGCTAGATCAGCAAGTAAACTTCTATCCTGTATCCTTGGTAGCCCTGAGGGAATTTTTGCTTGGTCAAGAAGAGATATTTAGGTGGTATATTTGCGACAGAGGCGTATCTAGAGAAAATGGCGCC